CCCTGACAAGAAAACACACACCTAGGTGTGTGTTTTCTTGTCAGGGCGGGTTGTGCAGGTAGATTTAGGTGCTGAAAGTTTTCTTCCTGAACAAGGATTCCCTACTTTGTAAATTCCTCAGCAGGGAGTTTCACTGCATTTCGCCACCAGCAAACCTTCCAACGACAAAGATCAAACAGTTACTTATTCAGCTTTTTGTTAGTACATAATTATGATCCAAGGTAAAGGATGAGCGCAGCTTGTCTAATTGCATCAGTTGGATCATACCAAATTCTCCGGTGCTTTCCCAGTTTGGCCTCTCTTGTTGAAAGCAGCTCGATGTGTTAAAAACGTACAACTGTGTGTTATCAGATCGTCACAATGCCAGAGTATCTGGGGCGTCGCTTTGGAGGTGAGAGGATCCGAACTTACCTGGCTGTCCTCTCACTGCTGCTCTCCGTCTTCACAAAGATATCGGTAGAACAGTGACGGATCATACACCCCACACAGAATCAAGTTTAAACACACAACTCTTTTCTAATACAAACCTTTGACCTTTCTGTTGACAAACTGTGTGTTTGTGCCACCAGACTGACTTGTACTCTGGAGCTTTGTTTGTTCAAGTGTGCCTGGGATGGAACCAGTACCTGTCCACGGTCCTCATGCTGGTCGTCACTGCCCTCTACACTATTGCAGGTGACCATACACACTAATAGTGTAAATGTTTATGAAGCATTCGCACTATTGTGATCCATTTTTCTTCTGTATATGTTTTGGGGCGTGTTTCTCGTCCCGCAGTTTTCAGTTTATTTCAACAAATCATATCAAAACGTTCAGCTCTTTCAGGACAATCCTGCTATAACGTTTGGTATTGATGCTTTTTGAAATATTTAGCCTTTTCTGCCAGTTTTTTCTTCTTAGGAAATGAATTGAGCTCATTTTACATCCTTCATATCTTTAGATCAGTTTACACCGTTTACAACCTTTTACTGCTCCTTTCACATTTTGTTCTGATTCAGCTTGTGTGCAAATTAAAACATTTTTTCAACTACTTTCAGCTGTTTTTTTTTTCAGCTGTTTTGTGATCCTTTCAGATTTTTTCTGCTAACTACATTTTTGTGCTTCTTTTAATTTCTTTCTAATAATTTCAACTTATGTTCCTTTTGGCTTATTTCTGCACGTTTCAGCGTTTTCTACTATTTCAGCTACTATAAGCCAATTTAAGCTTTTTCGGCTAATTCCACATTTTTTGTGCTCATTTCAACTTTTTTCAGCCTAATTCACCAAAATTGTGCTCTTTCCATTTCCTTCTGGTACTTTCAGCTTCTTTCTGCTTTGTTAGCTACTTTTCAACTTTTTCCCAGATAATTTTGACTTTTTTGTGCTCAAGCTTTCAACAAAAGTGTTCTTTCTGCTTTCTTCTGATTATTTAAGCTTGTTCTACCTTTTCAGCTACTTGTTTTTAGCAACTTTAGCTAATTTCAGCTGTTTTCAGATTAATTTAAATTTTTGGGGCTAATTTCTGCTACTTTTAGCCTAATTAACTTCTTTAGGCTAATTTCAGCTTGTTATGCTTGTTTCATCATTTTTTTTTTGCTAGTTTCATCTTTTTCTATTTCAGCTACTTTTTAGCTGTTTTGTGCTAAATGTAGCTATTCTAGCTAATTCCACATTTTTGTGTTTATTTCAGCTCCTTCCACTTCTTTCACTTTTAAGCTTCTTTCTGCCCTTTCAGCTACTGTTTAGATTTTTTTTGTTGCTAATTTCACATTTTTTTAGCTAGTTTCTGAACTTTTGTGCTAATTTCTGCTTATGTAAACCTAATTCAGCAAATATTTGTTTCTTTCTGCTTTCTTCTAACTGCATTTTCACAGGAAATGCAATTTATTTAGTATAAAACTGGCTTTGTTGTACTTAAATGGATAGTTTAAACAGTTTGGAAAGGTTATGAACAGTTAATATCTTACCTGTCGTAGATAGCTCTTCGAATTAGCTCAGTTTGAAGAACTCTTTGAGCTGTATGTCTTCCAGCACTTGGGGAGAAATATCTCAATAATTCTGTCAGGGTCATTGTGTAATGTGAACCTGACAGCAGAGTCGAGGTTTAAAGAAAAAACGTTTGCATGAGCTACTATTAAATTTTACGACTGACGTTTTTTAAGACGGCTAAATCTGCTCTGGAATGGTGCCTGTCTGCTCGGATTGTTTTTGACAAAGCTAAGGCATCTGAGTCCTGGTTCTTTTACCCTTTTTTTATTTATTGAAATAAATAAATAAATAAAATACATGTCTCCATAAAGGTGCAGGAAAGCCAAACATTTACTTGTTGCAGCTGCTCAAATGTGAGAATTTGCTGGAGAAAAAAAAGTAATGAAACTAATTTGTGCATATCAAATGCAATTTTTCCTCAATTCTCTTTCAGGATTAAGTCTAAAATATAATAACTTAGTTGACAGAATAATAAAAATAAGTGATGGTGAAACTGTCCTTTCAGGTGGTCTCGCTGCTGTTATCTACACAGACACTTTACAGACATTCATCATGTTTGTAGGCGCCATCATCCTAACCATCACAGGTATGCAACTTCCATCATCCCAAACAAACCATGTGCACGGTTTCTTTTTACACACTGTAGCTAAAAAACATGTTTTATCTGTAGCTTTCAATGAAATTGGTGGCTATGGAAATTTGGAGAAAGTCTACAGCAAAGCAGTTCCCAGTAAGATTGTCCCAAACACCACCTGCCACCTGCCGAGGGCCGACGCCATGCACCTGTTCAGAGATGCCGTCTCCGGAGACCTGCCCTGGCCTGGCATGACTCTGGGCCTTACCATAGTGGCCACCTGGTACTGGTGCACTGACCAGGTAGAACTCACACACAGTCAACTCGGGTTTTAATCTGTCTGTAGGAAGCTGCATAGAAGGAACCAGATGGGTCAGTATCACCTTTCTTCTAAATGCCCCAAACATGAACATTCAATCTAAAATACACTGTGATGTATGAGAAGACTCAAGTTCAAGAACAGCGTATTGCAGAACCACGACGCTCATAAATCGTGAAGTTACTAACATAATTATGGTGGCTTGACCCTTCTAATGGGAAAGAGCAAATGAAGACGGGTCGATTTTAACGCCGTAAATAAATTTGAAGGAATGTTCTCCTCAGGGCCTACTGAAGGCAGGTCGACATTCTTTAGGTTGGGTTTGGTTTGCTAAAACAAGTCTACTCGAGGTAACAAAGACTGATCGGGGATAAGATGTTTTAAAAAGCACGAGCTAGACCGATATCGGCCATCGGTATCTCATCTGAGACTGAAAACAAAAAGTGATGCATTAGTTTGTGATCACGTGCACACATTGACGTGTAGACCTATTAATCTCTGTGAATTTAGTGACGGAGGTTAGAGCGTACTGCAAGCTCACACCAGTAGATGCATCCTTGTGACATTTCGTTCTCTTTTAATCGTCTTTCCAGCACAAATTTCCCAGCACAGTTTAAGATAGAAAAATGTTTGTGACCCAAAATGTGCAGGTCTTCCTAAAATCCTTTCTGCTCACAAACAGTCGTTACATGAGATTATCTCCAGATCAGCTGTCAGGTTGGAGTTATGTGCCTCCACTGAGTCTTTCTTAAAATATTTTAAAGTGCACTTCAGTCCGATTTAAACGGGTCAAGTCAACAACAGCACGAGTTCAGCAACAGTTCTGTCTTTTTATTTCAAAACGTTCAGATTTAGCCCATGACAACACTTAAAGTAGTTCTACATTCACTCAGATCAATAACCTGTGACAAATACGTAAAAGTAATCAACATGAAAGCCCCGTCCATTGACAGTGTCACCAGTTACACTGCTATCAATAGTAAAATGATCGGTATCACTAAGTACACAGAATACTGTGCGTGTCGGACATGGATTATACTGAAAAGAAACAAAAGTATTTGAGGTAATTTGGAAATTAATGTTCTTGATATTGTTGACAGGATTGAAGTGCCCCAGTTGACTTTACTACATTTCAGTAAAACTAAGTTTTCATGGCATCTCAGGCATGTCTGTAAACAAAAATATCTGATGACTATCAGAAGTTATTTTTGCTCAGACTCTTTTGCGGTTGCAAAATAAATGTAAAATTCATGGTCATAAATAGTTATTTTAGTACTTGCGCTGCAGGGTTTCAAATCAGAAAGCGGACAGAAAGGATCCCATGCTGAAGCATCACCAGTTTTTAAGCAGGAAGTTCGTTTTCCAAACACGGTTCTGTACCGGCCCACGGATCTACCTCACAGCTTTGTTATTCTGAGGTGCTTTCTTCTGATTGGCTCCTCCTCGCATTTTCATATTCCTAAAGTTGCTGAGTTTTGCCAGAGGCACTCCAAGAAACCCCAGTCGGTCGGCTGGTGGCTGCGGTGACGAGCGACCCATCTTCCTGTAGCCGGGGCTGTGTCGCCGTGGTGACCGCCCAGAGCGGGTCTCGACATGCAGCTGAGTGGAACCTGGAGGCGCCGTTTGACCCTGCCAGTAACGGTGGCCTCCAATCACGAGGCCAGCTGCCTGGGGAGGGCGGTGATAACTTCCTGGTTTGGCGATGATTACTTTGGGTCCCCTCAGTCTCGCGTCACGAGCAGGAGATCGTGATGTTTGAAAGAACTGCACGGAGACAGGAAGCAGAGAGAGCTCAGTTTCACCTACAGAGTACTTCATAGTGTGATTCTTGGTGCTCAAACTAAAAAACGTATTACCGTCTAACTCTTTAATAGGTGATTCCTAAGTTTACTTCATCTTTAAAAGTCAATAAATCAAGTATTTTTATCCTAAAGCTTCATTTAATTATACTCTACCAAAGCTGAGGTATTTATTGTTTGAGAGGTTTTAGGTGACATCGCTTCACATTTTGGTTCTTCTTCTTTAAGCTATCAGTCGTTTTGCAAAATGACTAATTTAAAAACAGTTTGAAATGACGTTAAAAAAATGCATCACGTTTATTTAGAGGGAACGCAGATTTTAAAGGAACATAACAGCTGTCGAAATACTTGATTTTACAATGATTTTGATAAAAAAAAAAATGCATCCAATACAATTTCTACACCTTTAAATAATTGTTTAGGGGTTAATGAAACTTAAACTCATTAGGGGTTTTGTAAAATATGCATAAGAAAACAGCAAATATTTCTTGCCTTTTTGTACAACTAAATCTGGCAATCGATTACAGATTTTCTTCTGTTACAGTTCGGATTATCACAGCAAATGATCTTAGCACCAACTTTTACTTTAACGTTCGCCACTGCTCAATATTCTCCACCCAAATAACTCTACTCCTATTCACTCTCGTCCTTTCTTTGAGTCGGTTTTATTCAGAAGAAGAGAGAAGACATTTAACTACAGCAGTCCCTCGTTTATCGCGGTTGTTTGGGCCCACGCCCACCCGTGATAAGTGAAACCACACACTTTGTCATGACATGTGCCAGGCTGTAATCACACTCATCACCTGTTACTCCCAATCTCCCTCCTTAAATAAACTATTTAAATTTAAATACTGTAACATTTTAAATAAACAATCCATGCAGCTTATTTAAAATGTTTATTTAAAACTTTACAGTATTTAAATTTAAACTGTAGAGAAGAGAAGTGCAGCAGGACATTAAAGGGATGTCACACAGCTTCAGCTCTGCAGCACGGAGCAGAAATGTACTTTGATCAATTACACTTGAACAACTGAACGTAGAAGTTCTACAATAATTAAAATAACTTTTAACACTTTTATATTTTGTGATTATGATGATTTTTGCGATGTGACATACTTTGAATTTTATGTTGGAAGACAAAAGTCGATCGGTGCATCTGGACAGCACAACGCTGCAGCAGGAGAAGTGTGTGTGTGTTGTGTGTGTGTGTGTGTGTGTGTGTGTGTGTGTGTGTGTGTGTGTGTGTGTGTGTGTGTGTGTGTGTGTGTGTGTGTGTGTGTGTGTGTGTGTGGCAGAGAAGGAAATCAGCTGATCGACTGCAGGAGGGAGCTTTCCCTTGCACTTGTGGGGTGCACACATGGTGGAAAATAATTTTAAATAATTTTAAATAAACAACCCATGGCTCATCCATCAATCGGTCAATTGTGTCATGTCCAATCTTACTTTGAAAATCTGCGATATAACGAAACTGCAATAAACGAACCACAAAGTAGAGAGGGACTCCTGTATTCACTTTCGACCTGGCTTCTCTGATTCCATGGCTCTGACTCTTATACAGATTTTATCTCTCACACGCTAAGGCAGTCTGACGTGTACTCAGCAAGGTTCAAATGGAAACAAATGAAATAACTCAAAATTGTTGGTAAACAAACCAGAACTGCTGATTTTCCTCATTTATCACAAATCATGGGGTACTTTTAGTAATGAATGATGCAATAGTGGGTACCAAGTATGACTTTTTAATACACATATATTTATGATTAAAAGTTGTATTTTGATAGCTGTTATGGCCTAAAATATCTTGTATGAATGTTTTCAATTTATTTACCGTAGTTAAAATCCAGTTTTAATTAGGTTGACACCAAAAGTTAATTGGACTCAATTATTATTTTACGAGTTTTATTGAACTCTGTCCAGTGACTCATGGGATATTTTTAAAACAGACAAACGAACACACACTGACAAAAACAAAACTACCGTTGCCAGCTAGCAACTGAAGGAACGAACAAAAAAAGGTGTCCAAATGATCCCTTTCTTCACCAATATTTGATGCAACAACTTATAATATATTTATTATTATTAGTTTTAGCAGTAGTGTAGTAGTAATAGTTGTGCTGAACTGATTCTTTACATATAAACAGTGACCAACACCACACAGTTTATCTTTAAAGACGGTTTACCCAAATAAACTGTAAGTAATCTTCAGTTCATAAGAACTGGAAGTACAAGTTAAAACATGAGTAAGAAGCTAATACCAGTACTGAGTGATGTACAAATGTTCAATAAGCATTACCACGCAAAAAAAAACCAAACACTTTCCCATCCACTTACATCTTATACATAACCACGCTGTGTCCGACACGCTGATATTAACTGTTACAACAATGTGGCATTTCGTAGGAAAAGCTCTAAAATGACTCATCTTGTTCAACTAAACTTTGTGTGAATGCCAAATTTACCAAGCAACCTGCTGCTGCTTGGTCATCCTCAAGACTAATTGAGAAAAGTCACAGTTATACAAATGTGATTTATAGCTACAAGACTGGAAAGCTTTAAGGCAATAATAAAAGCCAATTTAATGCTAAGTGCCTTGTGTCTAATAATGGTTATTACATCTTGTTAAATATTTCTTACACACTTAGATGTGGTGTTTAAAAACTATACGCTAAACAAAAATTCCTATTATTTTTTTTAGTGTTATGCCAAAATTCAAACAAGGGCCAGTCATGAATAAAAAAAATAAAATAACATGTATTGTGCCCAAAACATGTTTAGAGCACGTTCAAACACCACAAGATGGAGGTTTGTATTTCTCGGAAAATTTCCACTAACCTATCCTGTCTTCTTTTGAACTTCACAAATTCTTTGCTTTTCTCGAGTCGACCAAAACAACTGGGGATTAAATTACGTGCTTTAATGAAATGAAAGTGACATTAATAGTTGGAAATAAATCAACTAGGGACACACAGTACTCTAATGTGATTAGCTGTTTTGAAATATGCAAATATACTGTATTAGAGAATACTTTGCACTTCCACTTTGTTTCTGTTTTGTAATTTGCTTTTATTTCTTTTCTTTGTATTTCTGTTATCTGAATCTGGCTCCCCTGTGTCGGCCTTGAATTGGCCAACTAGCTCAAACTCTCCTGGATGTTATGTGAACAAGAAGCTCTGCTCCCCCTCTCCCATAGCCGCTCCATTCCCGAGGACATCTGTGGACCTGTGTCAGAGCTAAGCCGGCTGACAGACAGCACCATCTCTTATCAGGACTATGCGGACTAACTGGCAGTGTCGACAGACAAACTCACCGCCTTCGTCAGCCTTATGCATATATGTATCATGATGTCATCATTGTGTTGCTGTTTTTGTGCTGCGGGTTTTTTTTGCAACTTTCACACCATGTCCCGTCTAGGACACAATATGAGATGATTTTTTTTTTATAGCTCCCCTTTCCCCGTGTTTCTCTTTTCCTATCTAAATGAAAAAGGCTGCACCTCCCATGGGGCCGCGGCCTCAGACACCTCCGTCCCCCCATGTCTGTTTGTTTATGTTTTCCTCGGACTGTACTGAAATGTAAATTTGTTGTGCTTCGGTGCAGTGACAATAAAGCTGATTCTGATTCTGTATAAACAGGTTATCGTACAACGATCTCTTTCTGCTAAGAACATGAGTCACGTCAAGGGAGCATCAATCTTCGCTGCTTATCTGAAGATACTGTCTTTCATCATCATCATCCTCCCCGGCATGATCAGCCGAGCCTTATATCCAGGTGCGAGCACTCGTGTGGGTGGACGCACGCAAGTATGCGCACACACACTCACACAAACGCACACATTTTAATAAGAAAGAGAAAAGTAGATGATCAGTTTAAACAGGTAGTGACTTGCTCTAATACCAGTGTTCAAACACACCTATTTTGATACGTTTGCATAACACAGAGTTGTGTATGTGTGTGTGGGGGTGTGTGTGTGTTATGTAAGTATTTGTTTTTCCTGTAAATCTGTTCATAAAAGGAACATTTATGTTAATCTCCGGACTTTCCCAGTAATTACTCATTACACTTAAGTTTTAAAGATTAAGCCAAGTACTGTCATGAAAAGATGTTTTCTCCATTAATCATTAAATCTGTTGCTTTTAATAAAAATGTGGGAAAAACTGGGTAAAATATCGTCACACTTCCTAAACACCAACGATAAAACATTTTTTTTTCAATCCTGCAGCCTAAAAATTCAAACACAATTTACAATTCTACAAAAAAAAAGCCTGTTTTGTTTTATTTACAACAAATGTGAGGAAGACAGTCACCATGAGTTTTATTGTCTAAACTTTAAATAATACAAACTGCCAAGAATATTAAATACAAATAGAGACTTGATAAAACATTGTTGGTGGGTGTCATTTTCCATAATCGATTTATCATCAGTTTTTTGGGAATGGTATTAAAAATTATTGTACGGGTGGCTCACCTGTCCTGTGTTCTTGTGTCCTGGGGAGTCGTGGCTCTGTCTGCGCAGCTGCTGAGACAGAAGAATAAGGGAAATGCTGTCCTCTGACTGTATGGGCTCTCGCAGGTCGAGCATGCTTTGAGAGAAGCGGGCCATCATGTTGAGTCCATCTCCCGGACGATGCCCTCGGCCTGATCCCGTCTGCCCCCCGTTGACAACTGGAGTGCTTGGTTCCTGAGGCGAACAATCATAAAACTCCTCTTCTGATCCTGCAGAAGCACTTGAAGGGACTTCATTGACCATTCGGTCACAGTTAACCTTAGTGCTATCCTGGCTACCCTCCTCGTTGCTTCCAGAGTCTCTGTCTTGGCCCATTGATAAAATTCGGCTGCGGGTTGGTGTCAGCTGCTCCTGTTTTAGCTCTTTGTTTAGACTGTCCAGTTGGTCCATTTTCATCAAAGTGACCTGCGCCTCACCAGGCTGCTCTGACAAGGTGGGATCTATGACCAACTGCAGCGTGCGGCGTTTGGGAACAGGAGGTGCTCCAGTTGTTGTCTCTGGAGTTTGTGCAACACTGTCTGTAGGCTGTGTATTAGCAGCAACTTCAGAGGGTAATGCAGATGTGTCTTCATGTGGTTTGGGTGTGTCCTGTGTTGGAGATGTGTCGGGCTGTTGAGAGGATTCTGTACAAGCAGTTTGATCTTTATTTATAGCTCCGTCCTGTTTGAGAGTTTTATCTGTAGGACTTGTGGGAACAGCAGCTTTTGGGCTTGTGCTCCCTGACACATTTCCAGCTGTTTGTGCATCTTCTGCATCCTGACTTGAATCCTGTTCCTCAGCCTGGGCTGGTACAGTCAGGGGTGCACTGAAGCGAATAGCCTGACTGATCTCAAACCTTTCTGACCTCTGCAAGTGAACCTGATTGGACCTTTTGTCATCTCTGATATTAATGAAGCCAATCACATCACTTGGGGGGTCTGGCTCTGGCCAAGTGGGCAGGTATGGGATCAAGTTTGCTTTCTCCAGATTGACTAACCCAGGATGTAGGGATGGCTCTTCAATAACCTCCTTAAGACGTCCTTTTGGCACTTTCAGCCCAGTGGGATTCTGCAGGTTTGAGTTCTTGTTGCTGGAGTTCTGGTCAGAGGGGGCGGGACTCGTGTGGGTCCCAGTGGCAACAAGTGCATATTTGGGATTGATGAGCTTCCTGGCCACAGCAGCTGAGACGGGAGCAGGAGCCAGCTGAGGGAGCGGGTCAGGGACTGGCTCGTCTCCCATTTGAACCTTGTTGAGGGACACGCCTCGTGACATGAGGTAGAGGCCTTGAAACTGAATGTCGAAGGTCTCCACCGCCTGCCCTGTGATCACAGTGATGAGGTTGCGATCCAAACGAGATGAGGACCAGGTGAAGCTGGAACACCACAGAGAGGAAAACATCAATCCACAGCAGCAACTTGGGATGTTGTCTTATAGCTTGAGAAGACCCAAATCATAGTGCGTTAGTTTAATTATTACACCAGACATTTGTTCCCTGAAGTCACGTCTCACATACTGCTCTTTGATCAAACCAAAAATGACTCTCAACTTCCTTCTGAACAAGAGAGCTAATGCAAAACCTCCTGATGCACACAGCTATACATAGATGGCTGAGGTTCTTGTGCACGTGTGCTTGAAAATTTGCACAAACTGGAAAAATTGGCTTTAGGTGATATCAAGAATGCTTCAACAAGTCACTACTGGTCTGAAAGGAAATGCAGTAAATGGTGAAAACATTCCAGACACAATGCGTAATGTTTGTGAGATCTGAGCAAAATGTAAGTGCGTTAAGATTTGCTCAAATATTTAATTGTATGAGTTAATGTCTTATCTTCTCACGTCAGCAAAGAGAAAAGGACATGTTTGAGCATAGTGCTGTCAGTCTTAAGTCCTTTATGCGAACAAATAGAAATACAATGGTTCTAAAAAAGGCTTTAACGGCGTATTAACACATTATAAGCCTAATTTTAGTCGTTCGGCTCTCCAGCAGACACTGAGGACAATATCTGCCTCTGTAGCTGCCACATTCTTGTCTTTGTTCATCAGATAGTTGCTAATGTTTTCTGTCAGCTATTTTTTACTGAGAAGTATGTGTGTGCATGATTTATAGAGGAAAAAAATGCAGCTTCCTTTCTGCAGCTGAAAACGAAGAGAGTTTGAGTAAGTGGTGGAGATTAAACTAAACCAGAGAAGTTGGGAGGGGGAAAAAAAAAAAAAACTTAAAAAATGTTAATTAGAGCCTTGTGGAACCACAGAGTTGAGTGAATATTCCTTGGGGGATTAGTGGTGTTTTTTTATTTTGTTTTAATAGGCAGCAGATTTGTTAACAGGAGAAGATTTCACAGCATTCACTGCTCACCTGTATGAACCAGAGATGGCTCTGTCTCCATCCACCAGGAGAAACTTCTCGCTCAGAGAACCACGCACCTTCTGGGCCGATCTCGTGAAGAACTCCACGCCTCCGCAGCATCGCACTCGCAGATTCTACAAACACATGCACGAGCGTGGGATTAACTCTAGATTTGTACTGATGGGCGAAGGAATTGTAACGCATAGAGGAGAAATAAGGGCAACAAGCGAGTGGAGAGACTCAAAAGAAGGACTGCTTTGAAAAAAAAGTCGATGCTCAGCATTATTAATACCACATCTTTATATTGAGTGGTTGTACAGGTTAGAGCGTGGACTCTGTGTTTCTGCTTGCTTGTAGGACACACCCTGTGGTGTTTGTCTTCATCTCTGTGATAAGGGTGTGGTTTCAGTCTGAGCGCTGGTTCTGTGCGAAATCTCACAGGAGCAGCTAAAGAAAAGAGCCATAAAGGCTTACAATAACCGCAAAGAGAAAAGAGATAAGAAAGGAGCTGAAGAAGGAGAGAAATCCAGCGCTGTGAGGAAGGAATACAGAGAATTGAAAGAGAAACCTGATTAAAGAGACAGCCAAGTGAGAGCGTGGTATAATAATGGCCCGCAGCGCAGACGGGAATGTGTTCGCTACCTTCCTGGCTTCCAGTCTAAAATAAATTAAAAACAAAATTCCCTGAAAATGCTAAGTGTTTTCCTGTTAGTGGCTAGACCAGTTTAACTCACGGTTCCAAATAATTACAGAAAAACATAAACAATTATCAGCCTGTGGGGATGAACTGGCTGCTTCATGCAACTTACAGACCTGCAGGCAAATAGTCTAAATTAATGATGCACCGTACTTGTTCATAATTATTAAAACAAGTGGCTTTGTTAAGAACTGTTTCTTTCTTAAATAGCAAAGTGTTGCTGTTTAAAATAATTTCCACGGTTGCGACGTTGGTAAGAGGAGCCATCTGTCCTAAGCGGGTTATCAAAACATCATCCGTGTGCGCATGTTTGTCTGCGTACAAACCTTTAGATGCCCACGGTGCATATCCACTCTGCCACACATGGATAGAAAGCTGGGAACTGCGGCCATGTCGATGATTATGTACACAGGTATTCTGCGTTTGTAGGACGCGTCCAGAAGGTCCCGAAAGATATCTACATCTGTAAAGGCGTCCATCACCACAGCGATGACCTGAAAAACACACACAGGAAACCAAAGCTGGTGTTAGTGCTTCCTGGGCCGAGGGCAGGTTCAATTTGAGCTGCTCTTCTCAGCATTAAAAACAGATTAAATCCACAGAAGAAGCAGGACACTTGTGAGAACTGAACAGGTTGAGAACTATATATTCCTGTCCTGAAAGGAGATGTTTCTTCACTAGACTGTTAGAAACAAAGAATGTTTTGCAGTGTGGTGATAAAATGTAGCTCGGCTGGACACAGTGTGTTCTTCTGCAGCGCTGCACCACCACACACAGAACAGTACTAATAATTACTTAGCCCAACTAAAAGTTAAAAATCACACAACTTAGGAAAAGTGAGCACAGAAAGTGAACATTTAAGTGACCGAAACAGACAATATTTTAAATAACTTCATACTTTACAAGTAAAAGAAATTTAATACGGAGTCAGAGCTCCATTGATTCAAGTTTTGATGATTCTTTTGTTTTTATGACTTGAACCTGTACCAGAATGAGGATGTGTCAGAAGTTATGCTTATAAAAGGTAAAAGTCATGCATGTGGTGTTGGTGTGTAACACATTCACTGACGCAAGTGCATTTAATTTTTTCGACTGGTAAATCAAGCTCAGACTTGTCTAAAAGAAACCTTTGCTGAATGCATGTTTGAACGCTTGTAGGGAGGTGAAGCCAGTTTGTGACTCAAGTATGAAGCAAATAAGGAGATCTTGAAAGAGCAGAAAAGGTGAGCTCTGGGTTAGATGAAATTAGAGACAATGGATTAAATTTAATCCGAGTTAACTTTGCCAAGTCTGCATTGCTATAAGCAGAATGAATGCAGAAAAGACAGTCAAGCATGTCATAAAGCAATGGTTACTTGCAAAATCCAATGAGCAGACAGTTATACCAGTTAATATAACCAGTTTGTAACCCATTTAATTTCCCTTTGGGATTAAAAAAGTATTTTATTTATTTATTTTTATATATATATGCTGACTTTCATGACTTATCAGGCACAGTAGGAACATAGAAACAGTCCATAAAGTAAATGTTATCATTATGATGGAGATAATCTTAATGCTCACATTTGACAAGCAGAGACCTTTTGTTATTGGTTTGGATTGCCCAATCATCAAATCATGCTGCTAAATTCTTTGTATACACAAAAGTTATTTTCAGATTAACATTTTACCTCTGAACTTCTTTTCACAATATGTTATTTTAGTTTTATGAAGTTTTGTTGTTGTGTCAGACATGTAACTTCTGTTGGTGACGTTGATCATTCAGCAAAAAGAACTTATGCAATGATGCGTTCAATGTTCCTGGAAATAGAAACTGTTGACGCTACTTCCATGTTTTAGCTCAGATGTGTTTGTTCAACTTATTAAAGCTGTACATCAATATCTTCACAACTTACCTTCTGAGCTGATGCGATGCTTTTCCGCACCACCTCCTTGATGTGCGTTTGGCCCTCGGTGGGAGGTTGTGTGTACACGGTCACTCGCGTCACCCCACGGTACGAGATGGATTCAGGCCACCCCAGGTCCAGCTCCGCCACCGAGGCCTCGGACCGGTCCGGCCAGTAGGCGAGCGACACCTCCCCATCTTCTCCTTCTTCCCCCGGCCCCGGAGTCAAGTTACCCGGGCCTGGCGTCTCCGGCTTCAGATGCTCGTACCCGGGCCGGTAGGCCTCCGCCGAGAGAGCAATGCGCTCCAGCTCCGGCTCGGAGAGGAACTCCCGGATGCCGCACTTGTGAACGTAGTCCGTGAACTCATCGCGACCGTTGGCGATGAGAGCCTCGAGCGCGAGCCGTTGGTCCTCGCTGTAGAAAAACTCTGGTTTGCTTTCGCTCACGCGCCAGTTGACGTGGTGGTCGTCCAGGCACTGGATCTGAGACAAAGCCATGACCCTCCCACTGTACCCCGTCTTTAGTGAGCAGTTATCCTGAAACCACCCTGACCCTAACTCCAGTCGTCCGTCCAAAGGGTCAAGCCTCGAATAGGACTCATTACGGTTCACACAATATCCACGTGACGTGGGCTCGTGCGTTCGTGAACGGATCCATTTGCGTGGTTAAAAAAAAAAAGTTTCACAAGAAAAAAACGCTCTAGACCACAGACCCGGATCGCTGGCGACTGAGCCGGCAGGTGTAGCTGTAGTTGGAACAAAGCTCGCCCGCCCAGAGCCACGCCTTTACCTGAAAAGGGGCCGGAGCTCCGGCCGCGGCCTCGCAGCTCCAGCAGACACCGGGCAGGAAGAGTAGTCTGCCCGTATGAGTCACCTCCAAAGCGAACAGAAGCGCCAGCCCTCCAGTAAACTGTTGAAACTACCAGTGAGTCAGTCCAACTGTCGGCGCTGACGAGTCACTTTTCCTCCGTCGTCTGACTGAGGAGCTCCACAGATGTTCAGACAGCTGTTGCACAAACGTGGCACGAACCAGACCCAGCTCTCGCCGAGTCTTGAGTCTATGGGAGTCCGGGGCGGTTCGTGTAGTTTCCTCAGGTCGCATCAACTTGGGCCCCAGCGGAGGAGCGCGCGTCCGACCATGGAATCCGGCAACGGAAGCTCGGTCACCCGGGGCAGAAAGGCGGAGTGTCCGGTGGTTGGATCGGAAAGAGGAGATTTAAACTCCACCCTCTGCTCTGAACGGTTGTTTGTTTTTCTTCCTCAAAACATAAAAGTTGTTGCGAAAAACAAACAATCCATACAGCTGAACTTTGTGTTTGTATCTGTTCTTATAACTAATGCCACCATCTGCCTGAACAAAATATTTACATAAACATTTTGTCAAAATTACCCTCCTGTGCCATGATTGTGGTTTCAAGAGGCAACAGTATTTAAAAAAAGAGTAATCCCCAAGTTTCATAATAACGCACTATATGAAGGGATTTCCCAGCACTACAACAGTTAGCAGTAAACAAATCACAAAGGAACTCAAAAAGATATTTAAAGGGATTATTTCTTCAATCATATCTGTTGTAAATGTGCTATTTAAAGGTAGATTAGGAAGATAATATACTATTTTAGTTACTGGGGTTGATAAATAGTGTCTTGATGAACTAATATGAGTAAATTTAAAAAATACAATTCATCCATCCATTATCTTCCACTTGTTCCGAAGTCAGGTCTTGGGGCAGCAGCTTGCAAAGGGAGACCCAGACATCTCTTTCCACAGCCATCTCTTCCAGGAGAACCTCAAGGTGTTCCCAGGCCAACCGAGAGAAGTATGTCCTGGGTCTCCTCCCAGTCTGACATGCCCCAAGTACCGGGAGGCACCCAGGGAGCATCCTTACCAAAGTTCGTGACCATAGGTGAGGGTAGGAACGTAGACCGACCGGTAAACAAAGAGCTTTGCCTTACAGCTCAGCTCCCTCTTCACCACAATGGACCAGCACAAAGTCCGCAATACTGCAGACGCTGCACCAATCCGTCTGCCAATCTCATGCTCCATTCTTCCCTCACTCGTGAACAAAACCCCGAGATACTTGAACTCCTCTACTTGAGGCAGAGCCTCACCCTTGACCTGAAGAGAGCAACCCACCCTTTTCCGAGTGAGGACCATGACCTACTGCTTCTCATCTCAGCTGCGAACCGCTCCAGTGAGAGCTGGAGATCACGGCATGATGACGCCGACAGGACCACATCATCTGCAAAGAGAGATGGAATCCTGAGGCCACCAAACTGGAAACCCTCCGCCCCCTGGCTGCACCAAGAAATTCTGTCCTTAAACGTTATGAACAGAATCTGTGACAATGAGCAGCCCTGGCGGAGTCCAACGCCTACCCTGAAGGGGTCTGACTTACTACCGGCAATGTGAACCCAACACTCACACCACTTGTCGAGAAAAATACAACAGTTTCACATTTTTTTGCACTGCAGCCTGTGCTCATTCTGACTCATTTTGCCAGCACGGGTCGCATATACTGTAGTATAAGCTTATCAAACATGTAAATCGTACTTTATTTTCTGACAAAACAAACTAAGTTAACTGTTTTGTACGTGTTTATTTTTTTAACCTATCGTGGAAATAAAGAAAGCAGCAGTTTTCCATAAAAAAAATTAAAAAAAACTGCAAGTGCAGAAGTGCTTTGTGGAAAAAGAAACATGGACTATATTTTTTCTTCCACCACTGTCACAGCAATAGATTGTGTTTTCATGTTGCAGACTCTGTGGGGTGTGTGGACCCAGAGGACTGTGTGAAAATCTGTGGAGCCGAGGTGGGATGTACCAATATTGCTTTCCCTAAACTGGTCATTGAACTCATGCCAAGTGGTGAGTTTTTATTCAAAGTAATCTCAGTTGTTAAATACCTGAACATTTTGTCTTTACTTAAATCTGTGTGCCATTGTGTGTGTTTAAGGTTTGAGGGGACTGATGATAGCTGTGATGATGGCCGCTCTGATGTCTTCACTGACCTCCATCTTCAACAGCAGCTCCACCATCTTTACCATGGACATCTGGAAGAAACATCGACCACGAGCCTCTGAGAGGGAGCTGCTGTTGGTCGGCAGGTATGCGGGACAACACCGAGGGATATAGCCAGATAACATTTGTCCTAAAGTCCTTAAAGAGATAGTTCACCATTAGTACAATTAGTAATACACACAACAATACACATAGTTAGTATTATACTTGGTATACATGTAGATTGCTTTTCCAGCAGCCTTGATTTGGAGAAGTGGCTTGTAATTCTAACTGGACTGATGAGCTAACGGCTAGTTCCAGTGAGGCTAACACTAAACTGTACTGTTGCTGTCTTAAAAAGGATCAAATCTACATATTTACATAGCATTTTCTTGAGAATATTGTCTAATAAAACTTTACATTGCTGCCAGTTTCCCATTGCAGTTATACCAGCAGAAATACTATGATATTCTTGCTGGAAGTGCTACAGCTAGCTGCTGCTGTAAAGGTTTATAAATAATTAAAGTTGCTTTAAGATGGCAGCAGTTCATTGTGGTCTTGCTCCCACTCTAACCTAAAGCTCATCAATCTGATCAGGATTAAATTGATGTTTCTTCAAACTGAGGTCGTTTAAGGAGCTATTTGCAACAGGTAAGATATTAATTGTTCACAACTTTTCCACTGAAGCACACTTCAAGGGATCTGGACTGTTGCTTTAGAACCAGGATGTATCTGTTAGTGAGAGATGCTGATTCCCTTGATGTCTGTCTCAGGATTGTCACGGTGATTTTGGTGGTGGTGAGCGTGGTGTGGATCCCCATCCTCCAGTCAGCCAACAGCGGGCAGCTGTACGACTATATCCAATCAGTGACGAGCTGCCTGGCGCCGCCCGTCACAGCTGTCTTCACGCTGGCAGTGTTTTGGAAGAGGACCAATGAGCAGGTAGGATCAACAGTGTATTGAGAATCAGGACATCTTTGCATGCTGAAACTGGCACAAGTGATGGGTAATCTCAAGATGTTGGTTTGCAGCATTCAAATGCAAGAAAATATGTTTATATTTTTGCACTGCTCAAGCAACAAGTAAAACCCAGTCTCCCCGACCCCCTCTGTGCTGCACTGGTGTAGTTTTATTAGCCTCACGTGACATTCAGCTTTGCACAGCCGTTTCTCTCCCTCCTTCGTGTGCAGTTCTTTGTGTGGAAGTGTGAACTCGTGTGTTTGTTCATGGTTCTCATTCCTCTTAAGAAGTGATGTGTTTGTCGTTTTCTGTTAAAGAACCAGCGAGAGTGAACTTTGTTCTCAGTTCAAAGCACACAACTCATTGTCCAAAACAAGAGTGAGTGAAAGTTTGTCTGTTGCCAGATAAAGACTTGATAGTGACGCACACACAACAGAAGGTAACGATACTGTTGTTGCAATGAGCACGCTGAGACAATAACTCGTGTTGAAACATTGTTCGTCTGCAAGTAAAGACCGGTCTGCTGAATGTTCAAGATTCATTCTCTTTTAATAAAGTTCTAGGTGTGCCTGTTGTGGCATCCTGTTCAAATGCTGAAAACGAGAGGACTTCCAATGTTTTTCAGCATTAACAAGATTAATATTCCTTCACTGCCCTGTTGAATGTTACCATACACCAAATCAGAGGAGCTATAAAGATTAGTTTGCTTTTATTATTTTGGCCTTACAATGAAGCTGTGTGGGATTACAGATTGAGTTACAGGACACAGGGCATTTAAATTGTCTATGCTTCTATAACACCTTTTTATACTCGTAGCGTCCACAAAGCACTTTACAATGTGCTTCATACACTTCTTTAACACACATACAGTGGTGTCTATTTTCTGTTTTTAATTGTAAATGGTAAATGGACTTCTTTATAGCGCCTTTTTATATTATCAAGATACTCAAAGCGCTTTACACTACAATCTGTGCCCTCATTTACCCATTCATACTGAACTCTACTAGATCTATTTAAAGAATGATCAGTGCTTTATCACATTCATGCACCGATGGGACACACATCGGATGCAATGAGGGGTTCAGTGTCTTGTTCAGGGACACTTCAGCATGTGACTGCTGGTGGAATGGATCCCCCAACTCTTGCATTGGTGGACAACTGCTCTAACCAGTCAGCCACAGCTGCCCTTAACGTTTCCATTTCTGTTTGAGTTCAGAAAAACAAGGAGCCTACCCCACACCTCATTATTTAAAATCTTTTTGACCACACTAACATATTTAGTGATGGTAATATCAGTCGGTTAAGCACAAATTAACACATCTTAACAGCATGGTCCCCTCATGACGTATGATTCTGGTCATCCTCTGGTGCCATCAGCAGGTCGACTCTTCAGTGGTTCCCAACCATGGTCCTTGAGGAACACCACCCCTGCATATTTTAGTTGTTTCCCTGCTTTGACACACCTGATTTGAATGAATGGGGGAGGAAATAATTAAATCACTGAATCAGGTGTGTTGGAGCAGGGAAACAACTAAAACATGCAGGATGCCGTTCCTCAAGGACCAGGCTGGGAACCACTGAGTTAAACAACAATGGCATGCACTGTCATAAAATTAGCACAACACATTTGTCTTCTTTATTTTTGGTAACAATAGCAACAACATTAATGGTTAATACTTACCGTATATAGCACCTTTCTATCTAACCAAAATACTCAAAGTGCTTTACAACACACTCTGTGTCCTCATTTACCTCCACACACACATTCATACAGCACTCTACTACATCTCTACAAAGATAATCTGAATCTGTAGAGAATAATCAGAGCTTTATCACATTCATGCACTGATGGGACACACATCAGAGGCAATGAGGGGTTCAGTGTCTTGCTCAGCGACACTTCAACATGCATCTGCAAAATGGTGGAATCGAACCCCCAACTCTCATTGGAGGACAACTGCTCTAACCGCTCAACCCCTTAATTCAAATTCAAATTCAAAAATACTTTATTAATCCCAAAGGGAAATTAATTGTTGTTGTAGCTCATCCAGGTTTCATTAGAGTTGTTATAGATGCTGATGGCTGTGGGCAGGAAGGATTTCTTGTAGCGGTCTGACCCACAGCGGATCCGAAGAAACTGGTTGCCCATGCCGATCCCTCCTCCCAGACCCAGCAGACCTCTCGGTCCTCTTGGGCAGCAGGACCACCTGAATGCCAGGCAGAACTCCTCGGTCCTCCCGCTGTCACGAACCACGTTTCCCGCCACCTCCAAGATCTCGGTGGTCAGGCACTTGAGCACCACCTAGATGGGAATGCATCCACGGCACCTCCTCTTCACAAAATTTAAAATTTTATATCTTTATGATTTGGGGCTGTAGTTGAGGTGTTATTTGAGCTTTTGAGATGTTAATTAGCAACTCCCAGTTGTAGAAAGCCACCTTGTTGTCATGGTTACGCATCATAACAAACGTCCAAAAGTAAAAAGGTTTCAGTAAAAATCCTTCCAGCTGCACAGCGTCCAAAACCAGAGGAAATATTCATCCAAAAAAAAGCGATTTACATCCAGAAAAAAGAAAAATTCAAGCAAAATGTCAGAATGAATGTAAGAGAGCTACTCCAACATGCAGCCACCTTGAGCGGCACAATTCTAGAATAATGTAAATGTAAACAAAATTTCCAGTCAAAACAAACCAACTGTGTATTTTGGTTTCTTTTTTTAACTTGTTTTCTGTCAATTGTTTGACCATTTCATCGTTTTCTGTTATAGGCCTTAAATTTAAACTCTGACCTTTGAATCAATCTGACATAAAACGTCTCCTAAACACAAGGAACAAGCTGGTGTTTGGTGTTGACACGTAACAGACAGCTTGGCAGCAAAATAATTTTAAACTTGATCTTCAGGCATTGTGTTACCAGCAGCCTGTCACAACAACACAACTTGTTCCCTTTCTTTAGTTGAATATATGATAAATACACAAGATTAAACAGTTTGACACTTAATATATATATTATACCTTGTTGATGTAAAAAAAAAAAAAGTAATTTAGCACTAAAAAGGTGATTCCCAAAGAGCTTATTGGAGAAAACTTGTCATCAAATCAGTGCCACGTCTCTCTTTTTTATTTCTTAAAGAAGGTTAATTTTTGATCATCTTCTGTTGGGAGGTTTTATTTTATTTATTTATTTATTTATTTTTGTCACCCACTTCTCCACTGTCCTCATCTTTAAGCACATCCTGCGCAACATGTTGTCATTTTAGCTACAATAGAGAAACGAAATGAAAAAGCCAACTAAATCTACAGAAGCATTCAGAAAATCTGAATAACTACTGATCAATAAAACTCCAAATTCTTCTCAGACAGTCTGGCTGCTTGGAATCAAACTATAAAGAAACTAACGCTGGTTTAAAAGTTGCACACACAGTGCGGCACCTGGACGTGTTTCCAGTTCTGCACAGGCTCTCGCTCACATTCCAACATAAAACTAGTTTAGAAATGTGGACAGGGACCAGATTCCCTCCAACAATTTGACCTTTCAGGCAGTCAAGATGACTCGGTGCCAAACTGAACAAAAAGATGTAAACGTTTCAGGGTTTTATGATCAACCAGTGAAGGAGGTTCTTACAGAGATCTACGTGGTGTAGATTTACAGGATCACGCTGATGCTCATCATATATCACGCCCGAGTGGTTTCGATTGCAAAAACACTACGTGAGAATATAAAGTGAGACTGTGAGCAGCAGATAAGTCACCGAGTTCAACACATGTGCAAATAAAGTCATCATGTGGCAGCAGAAACATGGTTTTTTGAACATCACCATCAGAAATCAAGTGCTAGAGCTCAATTTAGAGCCCTGCTGGTGTTGCCTATCAATAGGGATGTCTTAAGCTTTGCTCTAACCCTATTAGTATCGTACAAATACCAGTACACCCCCCCCCCCAATAAAAATATATATAAACAAAAACAAAGACAGTGATAAGACTGCTGGGTATTAAATATCTTTATCTGTTACACTCCATGCACTTATTTCCATAACAAAACACTGAGTCTGAAGATCAAACAAGCTTTTCAAGTTAATGACAAATCGCCAGAGACCGCTTGATTTATTATAGAGATAACTTTTTTTTTTTTATCTGATCGTTGGTGTGACAAGCTAAATGTTTTTTTTTTTAAGTGTTGAGTCAAACAGGTACAATCACATTCTGTGTTTAAACAAAAGGGAACAGAGAGCCAACAGTGTTTCTGTGCATACTTACTGTCACTGAGAGGTGACATGGTGATGACAGCTTAGCATGGTGGGAAAGTGCGAGCGTTCATGCTTCGGGACTTCAGCCGATCCTTCATGGAGGAAATCGTGTATTTGGTTACAGGAAGTCGTGCGATATAATGAATTTGTTTTCTCCGTGCGTGTTTCTGTGATTTCAGGGTGCGTTCTGGGGCCTGATGGTGGGTTTGGTGGGAGGCGTGTGTCGGATGGTTTTGGAGTTCATCTACCCCTCTCCTGGATGTGGCGTCGTGGATACAGCACCTGCGGTGTTACGTGGCGTGCACTACCTCCACTTCGCCATTCTGCTTTGCGGGCTCACTGCCGGCGTGGTTGCTGTAATCTCACTGCTCACACCGCCGCCCAGCCACGAACAGGTGGGCTCACGTCTGCACCGTAAACAGCAGCACTTTAGGAGAAGCGTGATCCTTGTCTGTCTGTGCACCTGCAACTCTAGCTGCTAAAAGTAAAACTGATCAATCTGAGCATGGAGGCTCTAAAGGAGGCCTGCATGAAGAAGAGGAAATCTAAATCCCAAACGCCAAAAACAAAATCCTGCAGCACAAAAGATTTATTGTTACACATTTTAACAACAAACCAAGCCTTTTTATTTGAAGTTTCATTAGATCTCATGACCCATTTTGTCACGTCTTTCATTGCTCAAGCCTGTGCATGAACCCAAAAGGCAAACATGAGCTTTCTGAAGGAACGCCCTGTCTTAACACGGTTTAAGAGAACTAGCCAGAGTTGTGTCATTTATACATTTACCACGCTCACTGTGTATACCAAATCCTCACACGATGTAAGCAAACTTTAGATTTACAAACTGCAGCACCGCACGCTTTATACAAGCTAGAATATACCAAACACCGTCTCCTCCCTTGTACACTCGAGGGCTCGTTGCAGGGTTTGTCAGTGGTTTGCAGATGAAGAATGATCAAATAAAAACAGAAAAATAAAACGCAAAGACAGAACAGTCTGCAAACAACATAATAACACAGATTATATCAGCAGAGCAGGGGGCATCTGTTCAAACATGCACCAGACAGAAGAAGAGCCGTAGCAGCCGATTGCTCAACAACTAGTTTTGTATCAATAAATATGCTGCGTGTGTGTCTGTGGTGTTGAAGAAAGAAAAGAAAGCAATGAACATGCAAGTAGAAAAACTATTAAATGGACCAAGACCACTGAGTTCAAATTAAAATTCTGAAACAGCAAACCTTAGAATAATAAAACTAGAACCCTTTAATTACGCCTTCAAGACAAACTTTATGAAAAAAATAATTTCTTATTTCCTTGGGTGATTGATGACAACAATCAATGATTTTTTTCTATAACATACCCATACCCAACACTTTAATGTTCATTTTGTGAAACTTGCTAAAAAGATTAAATGATAATTAACAACTTATACCAGAGATATTAGTATAAGTAGTCTTATTTCAATAAAATAGTATTATTATTGATACGTTTTTCTCAATTTTAATCTTAGTAACTTAAACTTATAAATCAACAAAAGTAAGGAGTAGGAAAAGTTATCATTTTTAATTTAATTAGCTTAAATTTGCTACCTATACCATGAATTGACAAATCAACCATTTGGTCAAGCACATTTGATTAAAAAAAAAAAAACAATCTGATTTTTTTTTGAGCTGCATCAAGGGTCATAATTCTTTTTAATAAGGCTTTTATTACCAAAATATGTAAACATAAGTATCCATACCTTTCAAAGTTTACCTAAAAACAGTCTGACTTCCTGGTACCATTTACTGTCACAGCGCCATCTGGTGGATCTTTTTAGCATTACATACTTTAACTGAATGGTAGAGGTGGCTCAATCAGTTTGAGTTAGGATATGCATCCCTTCTTTGAATCTTAGTGACTCAAAATGTGGTCAAGTATTTGGTTGACCAGACAGTCAAAGGGTTTTAATAAAAACTGTGACATTTGATCATAGCTGAATGAACTAATTGTACTTTAATTTTTTTACTTTTGTTTCCGAGCCACATACATTAGTATGTTAGCTAAGGTTAGCACAAAGACAAATCGAGTGAAACAGCTTGACTTCTCCAAATGTAAACAAGGTTTAGTTTTCCTTCCTTAACATTTCTTCTTCTTTTTCTTTCGGCTGTTTGACATCCGAAAGACTGCCTCTTCCAGTTTTATCTCCTGTCTTTTTGTCCATGCCATGTCTCCAAATGATAAGAGAAATAGTTGGTCTCACTGCTGTCTTGTTATCCTTCCTGACATTTAATATTGGTAAATTAATACTAGTTAAATCTAGCCACCTATCCATGTGCTAACGCTGCTAACATCCTCCGTCTGCCTGCACGGACCAAAATCTACGGACCCGCCTGGTTCCGCGGGGGAACATTGGATGTTCTCAGTCTGCTGGACCTGGTTCTGGAGTGCAGTCTGCAAGGCAGCTGCTGCGGTCCTTATTATCATCATGCTGCTGACTGGACCATGCTGCTAAGAGAACTGTCATCAGAACCTCTGCCAATAGGACCATGCTGCTGTAGATTTATTTCTTTTTCACTTTTGTCGCCTTGTTTCTGTATTTTTGTTGCATGCATTGAATACATTCTAGTTTATGTTAGTTTAATTGATGTTAGTGCTCGCATTAAGGGTGTAAATTATAGCCGAACAGAACCTACGAGAATCGTGCTGCTGCTGTTCGGTGTATTGTTTTGCACTATTAGTGACTAGCATATATCTTCGATCTTTTAGCGTACCGTTGGGCGTTCGTTTAGCATATATTTTTGTTGAGATCTTAGATGTCAATCATGCCACCCATTGCCTAAAAGGAAACTTCACATATTTTGAAGCTGTGTTCTGTGGAAACCCTATAAGCAATTAATATCTTACCTGTTGTAGAAACGCTTTTTGAATAACCTCTGTGATGTGATGTGAATGACACTAAAGAACCTTGAGTCCTTGAATGTGTTATGAAAAACTTTTAAAATATAAATTAATGACGTGTTCAAACTGTTTTACAGTTCACCTCTTGACAAGGTATTAACTGTTGCTCAATGAAACAAAACAAAAAGAAGATAATAAGATTTTCACTTAGTGATTTAAACGTTACGTTCTCTCCGTTTCCAGATGTGTAACCTGACCTGGTGGACAATAACTGAAGAGCGACAAAGAGATATTCCTCTGCAGAAAGTGTCCCCTGTCAGCCACCGTAGCACTCATGGTAAAAGTCTGAGCACTTTCTTGGTATAAAACCTAGACATGAATCATCTGCAGAGAGAAGCAGCTGTACTGAGTAACTTCCTGTTTCTACTGTGTGTGTGTCTGATGACTATTCAGGCTCGGAGCCAACACGCCGCGTAACGTGCGGCCAGGGGGCAGGACTGTGCGTTGCTGGATTGTCGTGCTCGGATCAGACTCCCGCTCCTAAAGTTCCCAGCATTCGTGAGAGCGTGTTCTGGTCCAGGTTCTGCTGTGCCAACGCCCTCCTGCTGGTCAGCGTGAACATTTTTCTGTACGCTTACTTTGCTTGAATGAATGGTCAGACGTCACACCGATGAGCCTCTGCTTCCTCTGCAGCGACTGAACTGGAAACTGTCTGCAGTGGCTCGTGGGGGTCTGTCACTAATTGACTTTTCTTTAGATTTCACCAGGATCCTTAACACGCAGTTTTATTTCCTGATGTAAAACCAGTTGACTTGGCTTTAGAAATAACTGCATAAAACATTTAAAACTACTAGAGATTATGTTTTCCGAAGTTTTAACAACCTTTTGATTGATTATCTGCATCACTCGCCTTTGCTAGAAGGAAACTTCACATATTTTGAAGCTCTGTTCTGTGGAAAACCTATAAGCAATATCTTACCTGTTGTAGATACCCTTTTGAATAACCTCAGTTTGAAAAAATAGAGTTTAATTTGGACCAGATTGACGAGCTAACGGCTAATCTGAGCAGAGCTGGTTTCAAAGCAGATTGTTGCAGTCTTAAAAGATAGCTTCACTTTTAAAAGTTTGACGTAGTTCATTTGAGCACAATTTTATAAACTTTTGCAAAACTGTCAGTTTTATTGGGGACTGCTTAGTAAGGCAGCCACCTATTATTATCCACCTGACAAGGGTTTCTTAACTTGATATCTTACTCTTCCGTCAACTTTAATGCGGCCTGAACCACAACCTGTACCTCCACAAATGT